CTATGCAGAATTTTCTCTTTAATACTGTTTATATTAAAAACTTTCATTGACAAACATTCCGAGCTGTAAAACAGATTTTTCAATCCACACAAAATATTCATACTCGTAAGCCTACGATCAGGCATGTTTCGTCATCAGGCGTGTTTCTGTACGTATTCATTCTGGACATGTCGCTTAAGCACTACGATGAAAAGATTCATGGCGGTTTCTTCTATAGAACAAATTCGCTGGAAGTAATGCTCAAGATCTGTCTGTTGTTTTACCGTAGCAATGTACTCATATTCAGATTCCAAACACATGAAAAGAAGATACAGCGAAAAACAACGATTTAAATGCAACGTTGTTTTTTAAAGCATAGAAGAGCCTTATCTTGCACATCCTTCTGTTTTTATCTAAAACACATCACAAGAAAAAGCAGTCGACACTGGAATAACAATATACGAGAAAAATGGAACTACAGTCAAGAGTAAACATAATGATAATTATAGTTGCGTAACGCAAAGGGAGGTGGAAGATGAAACTTGTGAAATTGATAAACTTGTTATCTTAAGCGTCTCAGACTATTTTATGATAGGTGTCCGATGATAGACAGAAAAATAATTGTTTATATTGTATCAGCAAATTTGTTATTATTGAAAAATTTGTCCTTTATATGTCTTCAATTCAGAAACTCACCACTTCTAAGAGGGGGGGGGGGGATTCTCTCTCTTCTTACCCTCTCTCTAGACTCTGCATTCAACGTTCTCTCTCTATTTTTCAAAGATCAGCCAAGATGAAAGAAGCATTAAGAGCAATGGTGCATTTATGCTAAATAATGTTGTGAAGGTCTACCAAAAAATATTTTTACGATCCCTGACACTATGTGAAACGTTAATAAATCGGAATGACGATACACGAATTAAGACAACCCAATTAAACGCAGAAGAAGCTGCAACAAATCAGATTAACAATACCTGCAGTGTATTAAACAGGCATCGGATTGATACCCCAGTAAGATAAGTATCCTTATGGGATCCTTATAACAGTGCAAAGGCACTAAAGGAAAATTTGCTTCGCGGCTACCTTTGTACAATAATTGGTTTTACATTCAAGCCTCCTTAAAATACTAACCTACAAAACTCTTTTAAATCCTATAGAAATCAACGTAATTAGCATGTCAGTTCGAAATTCGGAAAAATGCAAGTTGGAATGCTTTGTGTGTGTGTGTGTATCATTAATGAAGGACGCATGCAGATCTGAGGCCATTTTTGCGATCATGTCACGAAACCGTGGTTAATTGGAACATTTTGAGGCCTACTTTGATGTTAAATCCAACTTTCCAACCATAAACAAAAAGTATTTTAAGACCAAAGGAGTGGTCTATGTGACTACACTCGAATTTGTGGCGCTCTATATGTTTCCTCACGACCACAAAGTATTTCCTTTTGGTTTTTGCAAAGATTCAATTTTAATTTTAAGAGCATGATACCTTTATATAATTGAAGACAAATTAGATCCATCCATATATACAAACTGTGCTGTGATTTTCTTTTATGCAAAAAGAGTTGTGTCTAATAAGTTGAAATTAGGCAGATATATCAAGAATTTTGACCATGTGTAGAAATCTGACCAGATATGATGTGGCATATCCTAAGGTCCATTCAAATTTGAATAGCTAGTAATTAACAAAATACGCGGAATAGTGGAATCGTTCTGTTGTAGCATCTTTCTGTGGCTATTGCTCTTGAGTTCGAAATGTCTTCAATAAAACGCAGCTCTGTTTAAAGGTGCATACCCTTATTCATCAAATAACAAACTTGCAATCATGGCACTACTAGTAAAATATTGATGCAGAAACACTCACGTGGTAACCTTTTGTTCATAATAGCTTGCAGAGTGATTCTCTTTGAGTTTTGCGTATGAACTCCGGAAAATTCAACAAGTTTGTTGCTCAAATTTTCGACATGCTTGCTGTTGCTCTTTCAAGGCTATTCTTATCAAGCGCCTAATCTGAAAAATTCGGAATAGCAGCATAGTGTTTCGCAGTAGCTCTTCTATAATCCCCTGCGGCGAAAAATAGTAATCTTGAGATCAAACCTGACCTTGAATAAAGACATTGAGTGTGGGGAGGCAGTGAGGCCTTTTGTCATCTCTTGCTGGTAGAAGAAAAGTTAGTCAGTTGCCAGCAACTGCGATCAGACAAAAACCACTCTCAAAGGATTTATTTCTTGTACGAATAACAGCGAGATTCTGAATCTGTAGCTCATAAACTTTCTTTAAGCAAATTATACATACATTACCGGTTTAACACACAAACAACGAAATTCTTGGCAGTCTGCCTTGGTAGACTATGTACAGGTTTGACTGAAACGATTCGATAGATTTTCGCCACAAGGTTCGTCAACGACATCGAAACAACGGCTAGTGATAGATTGGGTGCGACTTTCGCAAATCGAAACCTTTAACATATCAGACAAATCTATGGGCATTGTTGCAAATTGTACGTTTGGATAGGAAAACAAAAACCTCTTCAAAACCATACACCTCTCTACTACTTCACAAAAAAAAGGAATAAGTTGGTCTTCGGAAATATCTTGCATTTTTTAGCACTCTTGCCGCGTCATAATGGAAGATAGCAGGACTTGTAGTCCAAACAAAACGAGTCTGCTTTTTAGCTGATACATTAGCTGATTTTTATAAGAATATTGTTTATTAATGTTCAAAATCATCCGATTATCAAAATGTTATAAGAATATTGCTCAGCCCGAGCTCGCATATTTGTGACTTATTTTCCTCCTCCAGTTGTCTGTTTTGCCATGTCCATAACAAAGAATGGTTATGACTGACATATCTCGATTTTTCAAAAAGCGTGGTTCTATTTGAGGATATGTGATGTTCCACTAAAACCATATCAGATTTGATAAAGTTATGCTACTTTGAGAGTGTGCTCAGGCTAAAAACGAAAATTTCTTGAGAATACTGAGGCTGGACAAATTCGTGTCGTATTCTTGTAAAAAGGGAAGTGTAAAGACTCGAGAAACAAGCACTAATCAGAAGTACACTTGTACAAAAAAAGAAGGCTGCAACCAAAATTCATAAAAAATATCGAATGAATAAGTGAATGAATTAATGAATGGATGGATAAATGAAGGAACGAATGAATGGATGGATGGATGGATGAATGAAAGAACGAATGAATGAATGAAAGAATAAATGAATGAATGAATGAATAAATGAATGAATGAATGAAGGAAGGAATGAATGAATGAATGAATGAATGAATGAATTGATGAATGAATGAATTGATGAATGAATGAATGAATGAATGAATGAATGAATGAATGAATGAATGAATGAATGAATGAATGAATGAATGAATGAATGAATGAATGAACGAATGAATGAAATAATGAATGAATGAATGAATGAAAGAATGAACGAATGAATGAATGAATGAATAAATGAACGAATGGATGAATAGATAAAAAATTGATGATTTTCATGAAATTGAAATTTATGAAAAGATGAATCATGAAATTCAAAACAAAAATTTTGATAATCACAAGACAATCACCCATGCGTATCAGTCACGAACATTTTTAAGATACTGATACCCTGTGGCCAAAAATTGACGCTAGACCTTAAATACATTTGGAATCAAAATCAAAAGAACCTATTCTTTGAATTATCATTCTGACAATAATTTAAAAAAAGCAACAATATATTTCACATTTCGCTCGGACAAATCAAGAGTCGTATTGGCCTAGGCGCAACTCAACATTCGAGAACCCACAAATTGGAAAACATGTTGTACAACCTTGTTCTATAATGAAAACGATCAGACACATAACCAACCTTTAAGCACTTACTTACTTGCGCATAAATTTCAAGTAAATCAGGATGATGTAACAGCTCAGTTGTTTCTGCTACTCGTGCTCTTACGTTCGATGTTTGATACACATCTCGTCCTTGGTTATTTCACTACCCAAAAACATATGTTCAAATTCATAAAACAGAATCCTTGCCTGCACCTCATTCACCCAAATTCAATTATTGCATTGATAATATAATAGAGTATGTACGTCTAAATCGATTTTTCACATGGCGCTTAGAGGTGAGCGTAAATAATGCATCCGGCTTTATTGCCACAAGTACAGGCATCGCAATACCATGTCTTTGATACAAAGAACAACTTCTGCTAATATTGAATAATATGCATTACTTTAAGGCGCAATCGTGGCCGGCTTAAAGTGTTTATCATCCGTATAAACTTTGTCAGCCAAAGAAAATCTCGTTAAATGGCATTCAATAAATGCAGTAATGATTTTTATTGATAGCAGATCAATGATTCGTGGGTCCATTGCCTTTTAAAGAGAAAAACTGAAGGCTGTTTACATGAAAAGATTCCAGCCCAGGCACTAATGCAAAATCTCAACACGTGCTGAACTCAGCACGGCATTTCACCCCATCCCAGGATTGCCATACGGACTGAGACTGGCATTCAAATGATAAAATCTTCTAGCACGGGACGTGTTGAAATTGAAGCAATTAATTGATCGACATCTGGTTTCTGTATTTCTTAAATTATCAACGAGAAATTAGGGTAACAATTTATACATATAGCGGCATCTAATGTGAGATCGATTCCGACATCTAATGTGAGACAAACTTATTACTGACTATTGTAATTCTGTTGAATTGTAAGCACCATCTGCAGTCGGGACCAGATGACTATATGTCCTTCCCCATTGCATGGTGCAAATAAAGTAAGTTGTTTTTCTCTTTAGGTTTTGATTGGTAAAAAAAACATATAGCGGGACCTGATCACAACCGTGTTGAGATTTTTCATGTAGACCCCGAGCGAATCAAGCGACGGGTTTAGCAAGCCCGTGTTGAACTCAGCCCGGGCTGAAATTTCTATTATATATGGCCTCAAAGAAGGACTAGAATGCTTTCTATCGAACACAAACCAATAGAAAGGAGAATTTGTGATCTTTGAAGAAGCAGCAAGATGATTAAGGATGAGGAAGGGTGCTAGAGAGATTCCTGTGGAGAGTTGTTCCCTTCGATGCATAGAAACACTTTCAAGTATACGTTTCGATTTTTGTCTCAATCAGTAACGATTAGAGGTCTGTGAAATGGCATTATGCCTGCTTAACATTGATCATTCTGGTGATTTTTCCGATAAGATGGATTGCCATAAACAAAAGCAAAGAATGTATTTGAATTCAAAAGTTAAAGCAGTAACTGAAATCATAGTATTTTTCGATATTTCAAACCTTTTAGCAGGGCCTCCGACGAAGGGGGGCCGGAGACCTTGCTCCCCATCCCACTTTTTTGCAAAACAATAGAGTTTTGGGTGTTAAGCTTTCCTTCAAAATCTTTTGTTATGGGTGTTAAATTTTTTCTTGGCCCCCCCCCCCCACTTTTCAACCTTTGTCGGAGCCCATGTTTAGTTGATCCTACGTGAATTTTTAACACTGTTTGAATGCGTAAACTTGGGTGGCAGCGTGTAAAAGGAAAGTGTGTGGTGTGGAGAGACAGCGTGTTAAGGGGCAACATGAAGATAGTAAGCCTGTGAAGAGGCAACGTGTAGAGGCAACGTTTAGAGAGGCCGCTTGTAAAAAGGCATCGTGTAAAGAGGCAGCGTGTAAAGAGGCAGCGTGTAAAGAGGCAGCGTGTAAAGAGGCAGCGTGTAAAGAGGCAGCGTGTAAAGAGGCAGCGTGTAAAGAGGCAGCGTGTAAAGAGGCAGCGTGTAAAGAGGCAGCGTGTAAAGAGGCAGCGTGTAAAGAGGCAGCGTGTAGAATCTTTGAGAAAAAATAAGTTTACAAGTGATTCCAATTATGCTTTACATACAGCTAATTAAAATAAAGTAAAAGCTTATATCTCACACTTTTACTTCATTGATAGTATCACTTTTACAGAAATTTTATTATCTTTCCTGTCCCTGATTTGACAAAGCATGCTTGAAATACTTGTGTCAGATTCTGCTCATGATCATTGATATCTTGAAAAAGAATTCGCTTCGTTCAGAAAAAAGGACGCCACGCTATAAATTGACTTGAGAACAAAAGGCATAGCATAAATTAAAGAAATAGAATATATGTAAAGGATAAAATCTGTGTGCGTGGGTAGAATCTTTCGAACTTAGAAAGTAGGCCTAATGGTTCAAAATCGCAATAGTTGTTGAACAGGGCGGTTTTTATGTTTTCTTTGCTTGAAACGGTTTGGATACATTGCTGTGTTTGTTAAGGAGATGAATCATGCCCGTCTTTCTCACATGCACTAGCCCCCGTTTCAGGGTCATTGCACATGCGCATAACTTGAAGCCCTGGTGGGGAGTTGTGTGGTCCCAGATAGAACAGCTGTGCGAATACTGTTATTAATGCGCATGTGCTATGACCCTGCAACACTGATTGGTCTAAGACAGTATTGTTTTGAAACAAGGGACTGAAGGTTTCATCTCCCGATCAAGTACTGTAACACTCAAGTTCTTACAAAAACGATCATTCAAACTCCACTTCAAGCTCTTACAAAAAATAATCACGAAGAGTTTCCACTTCACTTTCTAATGGAAATTTTTCAACAAACTTGAAGCCACAAAGATGAAATCTTTAAATTGACCTGCGCCAGTATTCAGATAAAAATTAAAAAAATTAAATTAAAACTGAAAATGTTGAAAAAGTATTTTCTTTTTTCAATGGTTTGAAAATTAGCATGATCTATTACAATTAGATCAAGAAACGTAGATGATTACCTTGGGTTACTGACAACTTTGCAGCCTTTTTGGAATACTAGCAGCATGCATCGCTAACCAAAGTCTTTTATGAGGAGGTTCTGTGACGCGGACTAGGTGCCTCAGACCCAAAGCTGGAGATTGACTCGCCCATCTCATCAACCTGCTTCAAAATGCCATTGTTTCTGTTTGTTTTATACCGTTGTGTAATAAATTCTTTGAAAGCCATTTCTCTAATCAGAATTGTCAAAATATTCTGATTTTTATCTATATTTACCAAACATCACACAATTTCCACAAAAACCAAGGCCCAGCCTTATAAGATTAGATCTTATGGGAACAGGGGAAGCGAAGCAATGATACCCGTGGCAAAATATTCTCACGGAAGATAATTTTACCATAATTTCTTGTTTACCAACATGTAAACAACCTGAAGATTATGTCTGAACATAGTAGCTTAATGAGACAAAATAAAGAAAACTGGAACATGATGGGTTTGCATAAATCTATTTGTAAAGTTCCTGGTTGCAGACATATTCATACCTTTGATGGACATAAAACTTAAACATTTATACTTCAAATTTAGTCAAATACTGAAAAATTAGGGAGCAACCGTACCCTAATCTGGCGCACTCTTAACTCCTAAAAATAACAAATAAGCGAGAAATAACGCCACATTATAGAGGCAACGTCTTTTACTTCAAAGTAAAGGACCATAGATTTATGATTCTTCTTCGATTAAAGATTTACCTTGCTTATAACTGTTAGGCCAAGACCCCCTCCTTTGCCCTTACCGCAGTTCCGTGTCATAACGTTGTAGGATTGCATTAAGCCAACTGTTGCAAAATGTTATCACAAATTTCGTTACGCTTTTTTAACTTTCCTTTTAAATGAAAAATCTGATATTCATATCTTAGGCGACGCTTTACGTAAAAAGGCGTGGCCTAACCTGAAAGGAAAATTATCGATCGCTACCCAGGACCTCTGCTTTGTAATTTCGTGAAACATTATACACAACATTTCTGCAAATTTTGTACAAAATAAATAATCGTAAATTGAGGCATGAAAGTCATAACTCGAACAGATTAAAATCAAGTTTAAGATGGACAAAAACCTTCATCTGCAATTAAAGTAATAGCACTGCTTTACTTCAACATGTCGATATGTTTCCTTCAGTATGTAAAAAACAATTTTTTTGCTACACCCAGTAGCGCAAAGAACCAATATGAGGCCTTTGTTGTTTGGTGACCTCTTGGACATATAAAGAATGTTCTTTAGAAGCCTTTTAGGTACTCTAAGACTATTTGCTCAAACCTCTCAATTATTCCAATTAGCCATTGGCAACACCAGCCATTGGCAACAGCAGACATTGGCCCTTTTGCTTGCTAGCTACTTTTCAACAATGATGCCAGACCGACTCTCTGAGTACAAAACTTGGATTGTGCATTCCATATGTTGTGCAGTGTAGAAATCGGGTTGTGAAATTTTGGATAGTCATCCCTTTACAAAAACGGGAGACAACTTCATTAGGGCTCTGTCAAAATTTTCGTCGAATGATGACCATAGTTCGCTATACAACTTCATAGTCCTTTTTGACAATTATCAGACGTTTAAAAATCTGGGTATTTATCGGACGAAAAAAAACCTTAGAATGAATGCTCCATCCCTTTTACTGCAATCTTTCACACTCTTGGAATTAAAGATAAAATCTGATAAAATATGTTGCATTACTCACAGCAAATATGATCGAGTCTGTGTGATATTCACCGATGCACAGCAGTCCCATCCAATCTGCAGCCGTACACTTCAGCGAATGGCTGAAAGTAGAGCAGAGCAAACTACAAGAAAGAGAAATGCGATTGTGGTTTCAAATCGTTTCACTTATTTGAGCTGGTGGGTTGTCTGGATGGTCTGCCAGGATCCTTAAAAATTTCTTTTGTTTCTTTGTCGTAATCACAGATAGTAATTCACAGATTAACTTCCAGATATGTGTTGAAGTTGAAACTAGAAGCTAGTTGATACAACTAAAAGCTAGTTGATACGATGATGATGGGAAAATTTGCTTATCACTTTTGCAGTCATCCTATCCTGAATCATGAGGATAGATCAAGTGGAAGGGCGTAAGCTCTGAATAAACTGACAACCATAGCAAGAGGCACTTTGGTCACGAGCGAATGTTGCTAGTCCCCAATTTACAGGCAAGGAAGCATGCAAAAATTAATTTCTAAAAGATATTAATAAGATAGCATGACTTCTATCTAGAATCTTTCTTTTTTTTTGCCTTTAATTCATTCCTTCTTCATACTCCTATATTAATATGAAATGTTAATTATAAGTCAATTACCTTTTTTAAGCCTATTAGAAAAGACTAAAAGAAGCACCAGCAAAATTTAAGCAGAATTCAAAATTCATAAGGTGTATAAAAACCATAATTTAAAACATCCTGTCAAAATTGTAAACCATTCTGCTTGGAGCTTCATTCTACCTACTTCTAACACTAAATAAATGTCTGGGACTAAATTGTCTTTCTTTCTTTCCCAACTTCCTACAAGTTCTTTTCTCTTAAATAGTACAGTTTTCTCCGTTTCACAGAGCTAGGCTACGCTTGCTGGAGGTGGTATGGTAATTGAAGATAGAATCGGCCTTGCCTATCTCAGAGAGACTGCAAATAAAAATTCTTTTGGGATATTTAGAATAATTTTGCTATTATCTTTATCATAGAGGCATAGAGATAATGTCTTTATCGACATAAGAGGGCGGGCAAATTTCACCTTCAACGGCTTAAAGAAACTGATTATTTGCCTAATGTCAAAATGCTACTTTCTTTTTCTTTATTCCAAAAGGATTTATACGTAAGTGTTTTACTAGGCTTATAGTTACTCCAGCGATATCGAATGGAGCAAAGGCAGTCCATTACGCACTATTTACTCAGCTTTAAAATCTGTCCAGAAAAGTATTTATCTGGCAAAACGTAGAATTGAAAAGCAAGATCAAAACAAGACGAGTGTCCTAACTTTTTTGTCAGCACCTCTGACAATCTGGACAACTTTCAAAAGCTTATTTAACATAATACATAACAACTTGCTCTTATATATTTGATTTATTTTCCAAAAGGTAAGGAAACTTTGCAGAGAACCAAACAGACAGACCTTGGAGTGTATGGCAGTGAAGGAAAGTGAGACAGGGCATTTTTCGCAGAAAATGTAAAAATGGCAAACAGAGGAGGTGTGAAGAAACTTGAATTAACATGGGTTGGTTGAACTTGGTGAATTCAAAATAATTTCAATAATAGGCTCTAAAACAGTTCAAAATAAAGAGAAACAACAAAGGGGAGATATATTGTTATTAACAGGGTTGAGAATTAAGCAAGTCTTTGAAAACATCTTCCCACGACCTTTACTGAAAGCTGCATGTATCACATTTTACTGAATCACCCAAAAAATCTATCTCCTTTTAACCGTATTATTTTCAAGTATACACAACCACTTCATGACATGATAAAACTCATTAAAATATCCCATTTCTTGCCTCATTTGCAGTTTTGAAGAAAAAGTTATGAAGGCCTGATTTTTTGGGAATCAACCTTTCATCACCGCTGTCTTTGGTTTAAGGCTTCTAATGGGTTGACAACGCTGCTTCAAAAACGTGACAAGTACAGATGATCTGAAAATTTGATAAACGTGTTTAAGGCCTTGTGCTGAGGCCACTTGGGTCGCATTCTTTCACTGGGTGTTAATAGTTATTAATTTGCTGATTATAACATATTCTCTATTTTTGGGCATAACTGAAAAACAAGTGGTAACAATACTTAGAAAATCTGCTCCTCCTATTAACAATATAAATTAACATGAGAAATACTGATAGGGCCTTGTGATAGATAAGGAATAGGTATGACCAATCTATATCGTCGAAAATCTCTAAAAAGTTCTTGGTATGTTACAAATTCGATAATTATTTTGTTTGTAATTAAAGTAGTTACTATTTATGTATTTGAATAATGGTTGACGATTTTAGTGGAATGTATTCCAATGCAACAAAGTTTAGCGATTGGATTGGATGCCAAATTTAAATGGATGTCTCACAAAAT